AAATTTAAAACAAAATGCTTAGTTTCCAAAGCTGAAGTCTGCAGCCACCAGGGCCTGTCAGTGAAAACAGTTGTTTCATCACTTTCCTTCTGGGAGAACTGCTTGGCACGTAGCGAACAGCAATGAAAACATGAGACAGCAGAAAATTGAGCACAGTGCAGTCTGAAAGGTTCCCAGGCACCCATTCATAATCAGTAATGGAGTAGCTGGAACACTACCTTGAAAGGCAAAAGTTTCAGGCCATAAGTGAAGACCAGCCAAGGCATTTGAGAAATAAAGTAGCAGGAAGCCAAACCAAGATATATTCAAGGCAAGTTTCTTACGTAAAGGCCCCTAGTGATGTATTTAATTAAATCTCACTTAAGCAGATTATGCTAGATGGAAATTTGCATTGTACGTCTGAGCCAAGGTGACGTTAGGAAGTGGTACTGAGCAGTGGAAGTAGTGACCTCGTGGCCAAAGACAGGTGTAAGAGGCATTGCCACCCCGTGTGGTCAAAGGAGAAGTGTTGAGAACAGAGAACAGTTACTTCTCTTTCTGGACTGGCTGAGTGTGTACACCTCAAGTGGTTTTTAGAAAACCTCTCTTACGTACTGTCAACGAAATGTTCACATCCGTTAGGCAGTGTGTGATTTAAAATTATTATATACCAGGAGCAAACTCTTCTCATCACATAAAAAAGGAGAATATTGTGATTAAACTTCTTGAACTGTCTTTAGTTGAGAAATGAAGCCCTGTCTAAAGTATTCTACAAAAGAAAAAGTTTTATTCAAGCACTTTGGTGAGGGGGGTTTGGAAAGAGTACACAGGAAATTCATGACCAAGAGAAAACTAAGGTTAAAGTGGGTTTCCAGAAAGTGAGGAGGCAGGAGGGGCCTAGTTCCTCCACATGAAGCCCCTGTGAGTTAGGATCTTGCAACGACCAAAGAGAATTAGACCATCTCTGCAAGGACGAAAGATTAGGAAATAAAATGGTGTTTCTCGATTTGAAAAGAAGGAGCCTCTCAACAAAGGAAAAGTCAGTTACAATATTTTACTCTGAAAATTCTGCAACTGCATCATAGAGGAAATCTGCTTTGATTCTATAAATTTTAAATCACGAAGTAACCCAAATTAATTAGTAGTTTCCTCTCCAGAGCCTTCGAAGTTGGTTTGCATCAAAATTGAAAGGAAGAAATTAATTTTCCTCCAGTAAATGGCCAATGGCCAACTGAGTCTTTATATATATGTATATATTTCACTAGGTAAATATCTTATGAAAAGTGGAGGGTGATAGTAGAGATTTAACTGAGCTACATTCCCAGACTTTTTTTTTTTTTTTTTTTTTTTTTTTTGAGACAGGATCTTGTTAAGTCACTGAATTGCCAGGCTAGGCTTGAACTTGTGATGCCCTGCCTCAGTCTCCCAGAGTGCAGGGATTATACATTTGATCCAACATGACTGGTTTGAATCTTAATTCTTATATGAGTCACCAATAAGATTCATCAAACAAATGCAAAAGAGTAAGATGAACACTAAGCATTACATTTTATATCCCAATAGCCTCTTGTTCTCAAAGACATGGACTTCGGAAGAGGATTAGGCCACGGAGGGTGGCATAGCTGGCTTGCAGTTAGCAGGTGGGCATGGCCAGAGCAGGTAGGTCACAGGAGCATGACCTGAAAAGGTGTATCTCCTTCCAGGCTGCTCTCTTGGCTCTTTCCACCAGGTTGAGAACAGCTTTCCTCCGCCCAGGACTTTCCACCTTGCTGTTTCTGTGTTTAAGTCTGCTAACCATGGACTGAAACTTCTGAACTGCAAGCCAAAATAAATCTCTTCTACTTTAAATTATAGCTGTCAGTTATATTGTCCCAGCGACCAGGAAAGTGAGTAAGACACTAAATAACAGTTTTGGAAATAGTTTTTCTTTTTTCCTTGCCTCTGTTGAAAAGTAATAATCTTTATTTAAGTTAGGGAGATGATATTAGGAAGTAATATTAAAATGCATGAGGCCCTGGATTTGATCCCCAGCACAGCACAGCAAAACAAAACGACTCACATATGATTATACTCATTATTTTAAAAGGCCAGATCTTTCACCTGGATCTTTGAGTGAGAAAACACATCTGGGTTAGGGTCCTACTGATTCAATGATTGGTGCCTGTGGTAGCAGCCTGCAAGGAGATGCAGATGCTCACAGACTCCTGGTTGTCACTCCCTTGTGTCATCTCCTCCCACAGTGAGCAGGGCTGACCATGTAACCCATAAGGGTGCTGTAGGAATGGTCATAAAGGATGCCATGGCTTCCACCTTCTTTCTTGTACGCTTGTCCTGGAGGGAGCCAGCTGATGTATCATAGTGACACTTAAGAGACCCTGCAGAGAGGAGCTCAGGCAGGGACTGAGGGCCCCTAACGACACCCCTAAGACCAAGTCCTCTTCGAAGTGAATCTTCCAGCCCCAGCGAGCCTGTAGGCAACTGCTGCCCTGGAGGAATAGCTGGACTGAGACCATATGAGACCAGGATCTAAACTGTCTCTAGATTCCTGACCTGTCCCAACTGCTGAGATATCATGTTCATTGCTAAATCACTAAAAGTAACTAATAATTTGTTACTGTGGCAAGAGATTTCAAAGTCTTTCCTCTCCAAGAAATGGCAAAATAAAGCAGTGATGCCCATCTTAAGCCATTTACAAAGCCAGTAGGCTCTGCTGTAGTGCTTGGAACCTTAATTCAAAGAATCTGCCAGTCACTCTTTGTCTTGGGTAAGAGTACCAAGACCTTGACTTCGTGGAAGCCTGTTAGGAGTGCGAATCTTAAACTCCACCTTTGACCTGCTGAACTGGAATCTGCATCTCCACGAGACTCCTCCCTGCCATGCAAGTACATAAAAGTTTGAGGAAAAGCCCTCAACTATTGGACACAATGTATCAGTAATAGTAACAGTTGGGAAGCTCATGCCCCAGAAATTCTGAGTTAGCTACAGTGGCCGCAGACCTCCACTGGACAATGACATTGTGAAGTTGTCTGTTGTGCCCCTTGACGAAGCACCCAATCCTTGTCTTAACAGACTCCATTTTGCCTCTCCCCTGCTCTCTCTCTTTGGGGCACCCCCCACCAAGCTTAAAACTCCAGGCATAGTGAAGCTTGCAGGTGGACCACCCCATAGCAGAAACGGAGGCTGCACCCCACTCCCGCAAGCAGAAGCAGTCATCTCACGACAGACTCACAAGTCCCCTGCAGAAGCAGACTGTGAGACAATGGTCAGCTTTGGCCAGGACTGCTTGACTATGTCCACTTCTTGCCGGAGGCCCTAGACCTTTCCCTATATAATCCTAGAGCCTACTGACAGTACCCAAGACAGGGTTTAGGATGCTATCCCCTGCTCCTTCCTAGTCTGGATGCACTCTCCCCTCACTGTCCCCGCAGTGTCACATCCCCAATTCAGCTGTGGAGTCAGATTGTGGCTGAACCTGGTCCTGAACCTAGTCGCTTGGGTCAGGCCTCAGGCTTATCACTCTGGTAACAGACCTAACAGGATTTTCTTCTCAAAAGGAAACTACATCACTGAAGGTTCCGATCGGCTCTGACTGCCCAGCACCCTCCAACCCTGGTTCAGGCACACCCAGGTGTACCGCCAGCACTGCCGTGGAGGAAACACCCTGTACCTAGCAGAAGGGGCCCAGAGAGGGCCTGCAAACTTCCCAGACGCAACTCCAGAGGTGTAGAAGTTCGTTGGCTGGCACTTCCTTGCCTTATTACTGTTCTCCCAGGAATAAGTTCATGCTAAGAAAAGCTTTTATGCCTTCCCACCTTGAAGGTCAGTTTGTAATCGCCTTGTGAAAGACCGGGCGCCAGCAATCTAAGGTGTAACGTTGTCAGATTAGGACCAAACAGCTTTGCCCTTCATCTTGCTCCAGTGGCAGAACCGAGATAGTTACTGCTTTGAAAACCTGTTCTTATTGTTGACCAGACACTTTAAAATAAGATTTCCAGCCTGAGGGTCTTCACCGACGTTAGACACCCCCCCATCCCCCAGAAGCTGGCACCACATTCCCTGGGAAAGCTGCGGCACTCGCGCCCCTCCTTTGGGCCTGATGGCACCTGGTAGGCTCTGCAGAAATATTTGTTGATGAAGTAAGTCTTCAAAAACCCAGTAACTCCTGATTACTCATCCACTCCCTTCCTGTTCCCACCGTGTTAGCAGTCTGCAGTGGAAAGGGTGGAGGTTGTTTTCTCAAAGGATTTCGAAATAAAGGAACAAATGTTTTAAAAAATGATAAATCTTGCGCCCGAACTCGGTGCCCTGTTGCGGATTCAGGCCTGCATCCCCAGCGGCAGGCGGGTGGAGGGCTGCGCTCTCTGCCCTTGAATCTCCTTCCTTTGTATTTATGTATTTTACTTATTTGCGCGTGCACGGCCCCGGGCGG